CGATAATGACAATACAACTTAATCACGCCACTGCTAGATAAGAAAGGGCACTCCAAATACCGAAACGCGGCCAAATTACCCAGCGCTCCCTCAAATTTCAACCCGCATTTAAATCAAGCAGCGGAATTTGAGCGACGTTCCCTCTCAAGGTTATCAGATGTCTATCTTTTGGTAATTTTTAATCATTTTCTTTCACGGTGGGATTATCATTGTTGATTCTTCCCCAGCTCTTCTTATTTCTCTTTTATTCCTGTGATAACATTATCTGCCTTAAGGAAGATGTAAGATGGTTGCGAGCTGGTAATATAAAGATGCCTTCAAAGATGATTTTAATTGGCCGTGATACGAGCTAGCAGTTTTTATGGATTGTTTCCTTGTGTTGCGGCGAAATTGGGCCAGTCGAGAAATTTAAACTTAAACGTCTATCTAAACATAACCTGTGGTTAAAAGATTAACCGATTCTTTTTGCAAGATTTGATTTCAGGCTAGAAATTGATGTTGCATTTTCCCTTTGTTGAGCCGGGGTTGATTCATGGTTGGGAACAAAGCGGCTCATGTTCCAGGCTCAGGCGATGGAGGAAGAGAAACAACAACCTGAGGATTTACCGTTTGGCTTCAAGTGTGAAAACGGATCTGGCCAGGATCAGTGTCTTCAGTCTGAGAGCCGCACAAGGCTAACCATTTGTACTATAGCCATTTATGCTCGCCAACTTGAAAAAAACACACTAGCTTATGTGGCAACCCTGTTCTCGCTAAATTTAGATGACTGACTTTAAAAAAAAAATAACTAAAAGAGAAACAACAAACGTATCTAGTAGATCACACACTGTAACTTTATATCAGTTTTAATAGGGTGGTGGGGTGGGGTGATGCAGAGCTTTGAAGCTGGTTCTAACCACATGTTTGAGTTTGTTTTCTTTTTAACCCCCCCCCCCCCCCCCTTTAACTTTTATAGAGTTGTTTCAAGTTAGGAGCAGAAGTAATAGTTTATTTATAGCTTGACACAGCCACAATACGGCAATAAATAAAAAAAAACAATAAAGATAGTTTCTGCTCAGACCATCATATTTTAAAGCCCTACAGACTCTCATCCTTTGATCTTGAACGATACTTACCTTGTTTAAACGAGAACGGAATAAAATTTCACCTTTCAACAATCACGATACCGTCTTCCACACGACGATGTTAAATCTTACTTTGTTTAAATAAGTAAAAAAGCACCTATACTAATTAAGATATTATCTTTAATAAGGGAGGTAAGTATATGTACACCTCGTTTGAAATAAAAAGTAGATCTTAGAATGTTTAAATAAGTAAAAAAAATCACTGTTTATTAATTAAGGTATTATCTTCTAATGAAGATAGATAAGTATAAGCACACTACGTTTTTAAAAAACAACAACCTAAAAAACAAAAACTGTTGTCTTAATGACTAATTACACCTGTTACATGATTCAGCGGTAGAATAAACGGCTGTATCTGGTGCTAAAATCTTTGACTACCGCTTTGGGGAAATTTTCTCGGTTGATTTTATCGTGATCAAATTTGTTGTTGGTGGCCAAAACTTGCATGCAGTTGTTGCGGTGTTCGTTTCGAGGTACGGCGTAAAATACCACCCAAGTTTGAATTGTGTTTTACCCGTTGTTTGTTCTTTCTCCGGGTAATGATAAAAACTTGCGTGTGTTTACAGGGCGAAATTGGTAGGTGGCACGCCAAGGGCGATAACTCAGAAATCGGCGAATAAAACGGAATCGTTGACAGGCAAGAAACGATGGGTCATTTTTACGGTGTTGTCACATAGTCGGGAGAAGATGTTGGGTGTACTCAGATCGTAGTTATGGGGAGAGTGTCGTGACTATCTTGGGTGGTCGGGGGTTTGTCAATGTTTAATGATGGTGGTAGGAGGAGGGGGGGGGCATTGTTTAATGATGGTAGGAGGGGGGCATTGTTTAATGATGGTAGGATGGGGAGCCATTGTTTATAATGATGGTAGGAGTGGGGCATTGTTTAATGATGGTAGGATGGGTAGCCATTGTTTATAATGATGGTAGGAGGGGGGCATTGTTTAATGATGGTAGGATGGGGAGCCGTTGTTTATAATGATGGTAGGAGGAGGCATTGTTTAATGATGGTAGGATGGTGAGCCGTTGTTTGGTGATGGTAGGAGGGGGGCATTGTTTAATGATGGTAGGATGGGGAGCCATTGTTTATAATGATGGTAGGAGGGGGGTATTGTTTAATGATGGTAGGAGGGGGGCATTGTTTAATGATGGTAGGATGGGGAGCCATTGTTTATAATGATGGTAGGAGGGGGGCATTGTTTAATGATGGTAGGACGGGGAGCCATTGTTTATAATGATGGTAGGAGGGGGGCATTGTTTAATGATGGTAGGATGGGTAGCCATTGTTTATAATGATGGTAGGAGGGGGGCATTGTTTAATGATGGTAGGATGGGGAGCCATTGTTTATAATGATGGTAGGAGGGGGGCATTGTTTAATGATGGTAGGAGGGGGGCATTGTTTAATGATGGTAGGATAGGGAGCCATTATTTATAATGATGGTAGGAGGGGGGCATTGTTTAATGATGGTAGGATGGGGAGCCGTTGTTTAATGATGGTAGGAGGGGGGCATTGTTTAATGATGGTAGGATGGGGTCAATGTTTAACGATGGTAGGAGGAGGGGGCATTTTTTAATAATGGTAGGATGGGGATATCAATTGTTAATGCTGGTAGGGTGTGGGTCAATTTATAATTGTAGATGGGGGTCAGTGTTTAATGATAGTAAGACAAGGTCAATATTTAATGATGGTAGATATGGGTCAATGTTTACTGATGGTATGATTGCAGGTGGGGTGGGGGGGGGGTCAATGTTTAACGATGGCAGGATTGTGGGTGGGGGGGGGGCAATGTTTAATGATTGGGTGGGGTTTGAGATATAAGGCAAAACTTTAAGCGAATGGTAACGATTGTGTAGCATGATATTAAATATTTGTTTTTAATACGTCAAGCGAACATACATTTTTTTAAAGAAGTAAAGGCTACATTTTTGTCTCAATTTTTATATAATATCCAGTTATACGCAGGGCTTTGTTTTCTCTGGGCAATTCCTCAGCCATCACCAACAAACGATTTTTCCTTGGACAAAAAAATCGCGGGCCGGATGAGAGGACTTCGCGGCCGCATCCGGCCCGCGGGCCGTGGTTTCGAGACCCCTGAGTTAGAGCATAGAGGCTGGGTAAGATATTTTGCTTTACAAAACACGAACAGTTTTATTGTTAAGTGAAAACCATATATGCTTATATTACAAACAGGCAGGAAAAGTAAACGAATTTTAAGTTTCGAACGGTGTTGATGCAGTGTTTCTTCCAGACTTTTTTCTCCGGGGGGGCACTTGAAATTTTCGGGGGGGGGGGGGGGGGGGGGGGCGGTAGACTTTCTTCGAGGGGGGGGGGGGCTTCCCGAAGAGATGCCTGGAAGGAACTTTGTGTTGATGTTATCGCTTCTTGCCCAAACGTTTCGGATACGATAAAAAAAAAATCTTTAATGTGTATATACATATACATATATATATATATATATATATATATATATATATATATATATATATATATATATATATATATATATATATATATATATAAACAAATAAAGTATATATAGGTATATGGGCCTTTCCTTTTTAATAAGATCATGCAAAGAAGTTACTAATGACTAAAACTCAGCGCCCCTTTCCCTTCCCTCAAACTATTTGGTGCTTTCGTTCCGACTATTGACATTTTTTAAAGAAACCAGTTTTTAGTAAGACGCAGTTTAGAAATCTCAAGACCTCAGTTTTCAAATTCAAACCAGGACAGTGATTTAAATGACGTACTTTTAAAACGAGATGAACGCTTCAAACTGTGTACGATGCGTCAAAAAAATTAGCGTCAGTAAAAAAAAGGTTTTTTTTTTACACTTATAAGGACTTGAAGAAAAACAAGGGCACTAGATATTTTTGTCTTCACATTGGAGCATTCAAATCTCCACTGTTCTCATGCCTGAGCAGAGATCCCTATCCAAAGTGCACTTGATAAAAATGTCTATATTATATCCGAGGATGTTTCTTTGAATGTAGGCAACATATATTCTACATATCGAAAACTAGGTAAGTGGTAAATATTATTTCAGACATGAAAGTTAAGATAAGTGGAGTACATCTGTTTTAAAAAAAAATCTGAGGGTCTAGAGATTACATGCGCAATCGCCCAATTAGAACCAGGTACATAGACCACACCATCCCGTTTAATTTTGGAACCTTCTCAATAGACATGATGCGGTGGGAAGAAGGAGAGTGATAACTATCATACACGCATGAGTTAACACCACTGTATCAGAAATAACTTTGTGCCGAACATTATTACAACCATGGAGTCACGTAACTACAGTCGTGAATCAATTTGTGACGTTTAAACTAAACAAAAACATCTTCCCACACCCGTTATAAAAATATATGTATGTATGGTTGTGATGAAGGGCATCATATACTCTATATGCATAACTAGTTGATCGATAACAATGTTAAAACTGGTAGGAAAATAAAAAGCCGACGACTAACTAATTAAGTCATGTTTTAAAGGAATAATTCTGTCAACTTAGACTAATTAAGGGCCATCTTCCCCTCCTCTCCCCTGTAAATGCGTAAACTGGAATACAGTATGGAATAACAGTGACCTGTGAACTTTTTCTGTTACATTAAGTTGTGGGATCGGATCCCTGTAGGAAAGGAACACAATTTACAGAACAAATACAAGCCAGTCTTTGGGGAAGAGCTGGGAGGGGGTGGGGTGGGGGGGGGGGGGGAGGTGGGGCAGGAGGGTCAATGTTATAATTTTATCAAGAAATTAAATTATTCACGCAGATTGTCAAACCTGTGTATAATTAATAACCGCCCTCAAAAGGACTGCGGCTAAAAATGCCCACACAGCCAACAGAAAGTGGAGACAACTATTAGCTACTCACCGATAGCTTGGCACCCATTGGCCGCACGCGCCGGTGAGCTGAGACGTGTCTCGCGCGGCTCACGTGGCGCGTGCACTTCCTGCGAGCTCCGGCCGTCCGTCCCGCGCTGTCCACATGACGTCACGCCCGTGAGTACACAACCACCCGCCGCACCAAGTTGGGAACGTCCAAGATCCACACCACCGAATTCACGTGAAATATCGTCCATTTTACCCGGCTTTTTAACAGACAAATCAATGACGTCATTTTTTGTTTTTAAGTCGACGGATCTTTCAACCGGAAGTCCAGACTTGTCTGGGGAACGAGTACAAGCCGCCTGGAGGTAGCGTGAGTCGTATTTCGGCTTCCAGAAAGCGGCATCTGTTTGTAGGTTTTCCTGCGGGTCGGCTCGAGGACACACGGCGGTGCCGGAAGACGGACTGGAGCCGGACAGCTGGTACGGCCGGAAGATGTCTGGCACGGGGAGACAACACGAGGAAGATTTCAAGGCTGAGGTATTTCTGTTTTCGTCCTTACTCTCGCTGTTGTTGTTGTTGTCGTCTGGGCGGTAGCTCACGTGAGTCTCACGTGACCTCGCTTCACGTGAGAAATTTAACTCACGCTTGACACTTTTGTTTCTGTCCGCACTCACGGCATCCCGCGAACATAGGTCAAGGTCGGAGTTCGACGAAAAAGCGGATGACGTCACGCCAAGATTGACGTCACAGTTCCCAGTTTTGGTTGGCTGGTTAGAAGTAAACCGGTTTATCCACGAATTATCCACCACAGAGTTATCCATCTCTCGTCTGATGCTACTTATAAAATCCTGTGATGTAATCCCAACTTTTGCACGCTGATCACTAGTTGGTGCGGGCGGGTTTAGAACCCGCGCTGTCTTGGTCTGTGGGGCTGAAGCTTCCCCCATCATCTCCAGTAAAGCGATTTTCCTCTTGCGGGAAATGAGGAACGATTTAGGCATCTTCAAGGTGCTGTTTGTAAGTCTGTTCGTTTATTTATTTGTTGTTTTAGTCCGTTTGGGTAGTTATCTGATAAAAACAAATAGGAGAATTAATAACTGAATAAAATTATTATGCGTGACAAAAATGATACCATAGCAAAACGACAGTCAATTTACGATACAAGTAAGGATCATAATGTCATTAACCTTTAGTTTTGCTATCCATACCCCACCCCTTAATAATCATCCGTTATAACTCACCTAGACCGTACCCTAATTCTTAACAAAAATTAAATCACACACACACACACACACACACACACACACACACACACATATATATATATATATATATATATATATATATATATATATATATATATATATATATATATATATATATAGGCTATAAAAAGATTATATATGTTATGTATGAATATTTAAATTTGTAAAATTAAAACTTAAAAAAAAATTAATTTAATGCTTTTAAAAAAACTTGCCTCTAGGAATGCCTCCTGTTTGTCCACCAAGTCAAGCCCACATAAAAGCCCACATGAAGCCCACACGAAGCCTACATGAATCCTCCGAATGCGACAAGTCCGCTAGCCATCCCCCCAAATACCAGCGACTAACGGAGGTAACGGTGAGTTCCTGACGGGCACGGATCAACTTTCTTCTGTCACCTCTCAGATGCACGACGGCGTCACGGTTCATGACCCCCCCCCCCCCAACCACCCACTCCCTCCCCCACCCTCTTGCCGCCGATCGCACTACTTTTCCTTTTCACAACCACGTCACGACGGCACCGAAGCGTGTTACGTTACCCATCGTTCAAAGCCTGGCCCCGCCCACATCGCAGCCGACCAATGGGACTGGGGAGGATATTAAAATTTTGGGCATTAGAGTCCCCATGCCACAAGTGGTTAGGGTATCTCTGTCGCGTCGTTTCCCATTAAAAAACCCAGTTAACATTAACAAGGGACACTACTCCGTTTTAAAAATACTTTTTTTTCCGCATCACCGGAGTTATCTTTCTTTAGTAGCTGATTAAATATTCTTAACAGTACGTACCCGGAATTGGGCAATCTCGATTTTCAACAGGGCAGTATCGAAGTATTTTGTGTGTGTTGGTATCGCTGTCGATAACCAACAACCCAAGCGTTAACCATATCTCGAACTTTATATTTACACCTCACCTGTACCCCTACCTTAAATCTTACTCTAACCCCAACGCTCTTGCTAACACAATTGTCGATACCGATATGAAAAAAAGTTGTGACGATTCTTTAAATTGCCCGACCATGTAACCGAATACATGTAACCCCGAATCGCTCAAGTGATGAAACAAGACGGAACTTCTAGCGATTAAATCTAGTTCAAGATCTAAACTTATCATCGGAAATTTTCCATTTTTAGTGGGATTTTTCTCCCGAGTTTTATACAACTAAAAATGGCCAAGAAAGACGGATCAAACACATCATAAAAAAATCTAAAAATAAAATTGAGTTACAAGATTAGTCCCAAAACTAACAGACGTTTTGAACTAAAGAAAGGCTAATAAAAATAAAAGTAGGTTATTAAATTTTCTCAATAAATATTATCATATCTTCATAAAGTATTACTTCCGCATTAAATAAAACCTAAATATTTTTTTTTTCGAAAAAAGAAAGGACATTTATTTTCATGAAAAGATAAACCAAAATCCCACTCATAATGACGTCCGGCGGATGCGTACATAGTGGGTCAAACACTCGTCATCAAGAACCCGGATGTAGGTTGGTTCTATTTTTAGCACAAAATACGTCCGCCAACATTAACATTTTTTTTTAGTTTACACCTCAGTATGAGCAGTTGCAATCAACTAATTAGATCTCAATAAATTAGTATACGTGTGAAAAATTCTCACGTATTTGACTTATCGTGACTGCTGCGTTCCGCTTGATTGAATGCAATGGTCAGGTGATAAAAATAGTTAAAAAAACCCAATTTAAAAAAGCACATTAAAACAGTGTGGCGCGGTAGGGTTCTCATAAATTAATTGTCTTGTAAAAACAACAACAACATCTTTAACAACAAGTAACCCGTGTGGTACCCAACAGGTGTGATGCACCTAATGACACCTGTACCACTGCTTGACTAAACACACTGAGATAAGATCTAAGCTTAAGTCTTCAGGTGATGGTTCATGTCTTCAGGTGATGATTCATGTCTTCAGGTGATGGTTCATGTCTTCAGGTGATGGTTCATGTCTTCAGGTGATGGTTCATGTCTTCAGATGATGTGATGGTTCATGTCTTCAGGTGATGGTTCATGTCTTCAGGTGATGTGATGGTTCATGTCTTCAGGTGATGTGATGGTTCATGTCTTCAGGTGATGGTTCATGTCTTCAGGTGATGGTTCATGTCTTCAGGTGATGGTTCATGTCTTCAGGTGGTGGTTCATGTCTTCAGGTGATGTGATGGTTCACGTCTTCATGTGATGGTTCATGTCTTCAGGTGATGGTTCATGTCTTCAGGTGATGGTTCATGTCTTCAGGTGATGGTTCATGTCTTCAGGTGATGGTTCATGTCTTCAGGTGATGGTTCATGTCTTCATGTGATGGTTCATGTCTTCAGGTGATGGTTCATGTCTTCAGGTGATGTGATGGTTCATGTCTTCAGGTGATGGTTCATGTCTTCAGGTGATGTGATGGTTCATGTCTTCAGGTGATGTGATGGTTCATGTCTTCATGTGATGGTTCATGTCTTCAGGTGATGGTTCATGTCTTCAGGTGATGGTTCATGTCTTCATGTGATGGTTCATGTCTTCAGGTGATGTAATGGTTCATGTCTTCAGGTGATGTGATGGTTCATGTCTTCATGTGATGGTTCATGTCTTCAGGTGATGGTTCATGTCTTCAGGTGATGTAATGGTTCATGTCTTCAGGTGATGTAATGGTTCATGTCTTCAGGTGATGTGATGGTTCATGTCTTCATGTGATGGTTCATGTATTCAGGTGATGGTTCATGTCTTCAGGTGATGGTTCATGTCTTCAGGTGATGGTTCATGTCTTCAGGTGATGGTTCATGTCTTCAGGTGATGGTTCATGTCTTCAGGTGATGGTTCACGTCTTCAGGTGATGTGATGGTTCATGTATTCAGGTGATGGTTCATGTCTTCAGGTGATGGTTCACGTCTTCAGGTGATGGTTCACGTCTTCAGGTGATGTGATGGTTCATGTATTCAGGTGATGGTTCATGTCTTCAGGTGATGGTTCATGTCTTCAGGTGATGGTTCATGTCTTCAGGTGATGGTTCATGTCTTCAGGTGATGGTTCATGTCTTCAGGTGATGGTTCATGTCTTCAGGTGATGGTTGAAGTTGTTGTTTTGGGTCGGGGCTAAGTCAGAACTAGGGTCAGGGACAAGGTTAGGGTTGGGATTAAGGTCAGGATTAGGTTCAGGTTTGGGGTCAGGGTTAGGGTCAAGGTTAGTTAATGTTTAGTGACAGGGTTAAAATCATTGGTAAGGTTAAGACTGTGATAAGAGGCAGGTTTAGAGTTAGGGGCTCAGCAGGGATAGGTTCAGCATGTTGTCAGGATCAAGGTTAGGATCAAGGTTAGAACCAAAGTTAGGACCAAGGTTAGGACCAAGGTTAGGACCAAGGTTAGGACCAAGGTTAGGACCAAGGCTAGGACCAAGGTTAGGACCAAGGTTAGGATCAAGCTTAGGATCAGGGTTAGAACCAAGGTTAGGACCAAGGTTAGGACCAAGGTTAGGACCAAGGTTAGGACCAAGGTTAGGACCAAGGTTAGGACCAAGGTTAGGACCAAGGTTAGGACCAAGGTTAGGATTAAGGTTAAAAAGCTTAAAAACATTTTTTTTCGTATTTGTCTGTTTGTGTGCGAAGATGTGCAGCTTTGCAAAATTTCGACTTATTATATAACAAATCCAGAAATCATATATTCCCACACACAAGGCACCATAAACAACACAAACTTTGTAAGGAATATTTTTAATTTTTTTATTAAAGATTCATTTCTGCTAACGAAAATTTAAAAGATCTGCGTCAACTAAACTTGTATTTAAGCTTCAATTCGTATATTTCAATGTAAGTAGAAAAAAAACCCCGAATCTTTATTGAAGAAAACCCCCCAAAAGGCTGCAGTTTGTTGTGATTGTACTTGCAGACGATACCTAGTTTAATGGTTTCAAGTGGGCCGCGGTGATGGGGGAATGCGTGGCGCGCCCAGGGAGCACGGCGAGGGCGGCACCCCGTGGCGCGTCACTCTTACCCGCGGGGTAGGGTAATGAAAAGACCCGGGTTTCTTTGGCGCGGTGACCCGGAAGGGGGAGTAAAAGTTGTCGTCTGCCGAGGTCTCCGGTTTCATCGGCCGTTTGTTGCCGGTTTAACGGTTGGGGCCGTTCTGGAGTATTGTTGTGTATATGATGTCAATCTTCATACATGGGGTGGGGGTTGGGGGTGGGGAGGGGGGTGTACATTAAAAAAAAATATTGGCTTTCACCATTTCGGGATTCCCCTCTGGTTTGCTATAATATCTTTTTTTTAAAGCATTCAGGAAAATAGAAATGTGGTTATAATAGTGACACTAGCGTTACCGTCAGTTACCGATGGCAGATGATCGCACTGACTGACATAGACACGAACAACATTAATGTTTATGTGTTTTATCACATTTATCAAGTAGAGAAGCTTATTTTCATTTTAAACTAGCAGAGCGCAACCCTTTCTTTAAAAACTTATGTAGCGTTTAAGGCTGATGTATTTTAAAGGTAGCAGCCTTTGACGAGATGTAGCATAAGACTAGCTAATATATGCAGCTGTGACGTACTGCATACTTGTGAAGCTTCATTTGTTCATAAGTTTGATGTAACCTCATATGGAGTGATAATTTACAACATATAAAAATGATTTTGATATAAAATAAAACCAAAGCCAAATATCTTGTCTAATATTCACAGTTTTTCGTCCCACCAATAAACGCTAGTCTATGTGATATACTGGAGTTTTCTTTTACGTCTTA